ACCTGAATTGTTCTATGATTCTATGATCCTTCCATCTGTCTCTTTTACGAAGTTTTCCTTGCCTAGACTGTCTCTGTCACTTTCCCTCTGGAGAGGTGGTACCATTTCAGCAGTAAAACAAGACCAGTTCTCTAGGCAAGCCACAGACTTTTGGCACAGGGTAAGAGGCAGTGCACCTTTCAGGATTTTTCTCTGTGGGAAGCGCAGCCTTTTCTTGCAGCGGTTTGTTATTTGGGTTCTTCCAATATGCTTTTATCTGGGTTTTGCTCTTTGCTCTCTACCCCCAGATAGCTTTGTTCTCTCTTCCTTGGGATGGGAGTAACATTGTCTTACTGGTGGGGAAAATGGTGCCTCTAGAGATACTGCTAGTTGCTCAGATACCTCAACAAAGTAGGAGCTCATGTAACACTTGCAAAAAGAAAATAATGTTTTATATGAAACTAGAAGGCTGATCGGGAAGGGAAATGGGAAAAGGGGAGAGTGTGCCATCAGTGGCTTTTTTTCTGTTTATTTTTTTTACAGTTTTTCCAGATACATATAAATGCGAACACTGAAAGGCACCCCTGTCCCTTTATTTTTTTCTGGAAAAATTGTGTGTTTGATATCCATCCTAGATGGATAAAATGGAGGAAAAAGGGACATAGATGCCAGGGGCTCACAGCTCTGTTGCTTGCTGGGCAACAGCAGGAGCTGCTCACAGTAAGTTTGACGCTTTGTGACCAAGAATTTTATTGTACGTTTACTGCAAGTCATGGGATCTCAAAGGTGATCCACCTGTACATGGAATTGTCCGAGGTTGATCTGTTTAGAAATGGCTTTGTAGGTGTCTCTAATGGAGCGTAAGATTGTCATCAGTCTTGTGCTGTCCTCACCGTAACGCAGACTTTGCCTTCAATAACTTTGGAAGCTTTCGTACCAGGCTTCTGTAGTTCTGGTAGAATCGTAGGCTTGATCGTGTCATGCGTGAGCCGGCTGGGAAGTCTGCTGCTTAACCCACTCATGAATCAGCTGGTGAGCAATGGCCTGTTTGGGAGGGAACCAGGGTATAAAACTACCGTCGTCTTGCTTTGAAGATCTGGGCTCTCTCTTGAGACCCTCCACGACTTCCTCCAGGCCAAACCAACGGGCTTCCTCTAATTCCAGGCTGTTCATACTGATCTGGAAAGAATTCAGAAAGTACCAGTTCCTCAAATTGGATTTATATGTGGGCAGCTCTGCCTGGCTTGTTCTAGCCCCCACAGTGTCCTACGCTAGAATGCCCGAAGTGCTTTATCCACACTGGAACTAAGTGCTGATGCCCGTACAGGAAAGGATATAACTATCCACCAGTGCTTGGTTGTCTTGGTTTCCTTAGGGAAGCCTCGAATCGGGTAGCCCTCTTCCATCACGGCACTGGTCTGCAAAGTATCGGTGGCTGAGCTCACTAATTAACGTGGCAGAATGTGGTATTAATACCAGAGAGTACCTCCTCTGCCAAGTTCCCAGGAAAAAATAGAGGGGGTTAGGCTCTGGGCTTGTGCAAAATCTGGCACGTTGCAACAGAAGGTAGCATTGAAGTTTGTGCTTCACCTGCAGTTTTCTATTGGCTTTCTCTACCTTTAGAGAGATCTGATGCTCTTCAAACTAAAGTCCACGGACTGAAAGCGATTTTGCTACATCAGGTGGGTGGTGAAACGGATGAGTGCTCACCTCAGCCCGCTGTGCTCTCACCAAGGCGTGACACGCTATCATTAAGCAGCTGCTGGGGAAGGGCCAGTGCTGAGAAGCTGAGTACTGGAGTGACTCCACCTCCAGGCCCACCTCTTCTGCCACTTCTCGCCGGACTGCCTCTTCCACATTTTCACCTAGAAACCACCAAAGTTAGGTAAGGACGGCCTGGCCTCAGGGCAGCAACCCATGGCAAAGAAAATGTAGGTGCGCTCCTTTCTGAGCTGTTCAGCCCTGACTGCACACGCAGGAGTTGCAGCTGTGCTGACCTGAGAGCATCTTGTCAGCGGAGTGGTCAATTAAATTCATCAACAATGCTCACCTCCCTTAAACAGGGACATCAGAGACATTTTTGGCTTTGCCTATGTACAGCTGGTAGACAGAACAACGTTGCCTCTCTTCATCATTTCCCTTTTTAAGCCATTTTCCCTCCTGTAACAATTGGTCTATGTTGTCTTTTTTTTTTCTCAGCTAGACTGTACTAGACACAAAACAGACTAAAAAAGTCTTCAGGGTTCCAACCTGGGGAGTCTTATTTACCATCAAGGACTAGAGCAACTGATATACACCCATGATCCCCACTCTTTTAAGATACAAACAGCTATTTTTAATTGTTTATGAATGGTGACACCACTCTAGATCCAGTACGTTTCTTCCCTGTTATCACCCGTGTTTCCACCCTCCACTGTGAACAGGCGTTGCTGAATGACGCCCCATCATTCTGCCTCCATGCCCTGTATGTCTAAGGCCACCGCGCTGGATCAGAGACCGCCTTACCCACGTCGCAGAAGCCTGACAGAGCGGTGTACATTCCTGGGGGAAACGAGGGCTGGCGTGCAAGGAGGCACTGGCTCCCATCAGACACCAGGGTGATAACCACTGGAGACATCTAGCAAACGCATCAAAAAGCAAAGCGAGGAGCTCAAACCAAACGAGTAAGTGCAAAAATGGTTGCTTTTCCTAGCAGGTTGAGGGTAACTGGATGGACACTGAAGCAGCTATGTGCAGAGCACTCCTGCTGCCTTTTCTCACAGGTTGCCCTCCACGTGCCCCAGCAGCATTGGCTTGTTGCCACAGAGACCCCGAGTTGCTTACCTTTGCTGTTCAGGTGCTCACCTGTGGGTAGTAAGTAATTCCACTGGCATGGCAGGCACGCTTGCTGCCAGCTATGTTCTTCTGTGTGGGCTGCCCAGTTTTGCTACAGTACTGGTGGGAATCGTGCCACCGGAGAAGGGCCTGGGCCTGCGGACACCGCGTGAGAAACACAAATCTTACTTGTAGCTGAGGCAAAGAGAAGACTCAGAGCAGTCTTGCTGAGCGAGGCTTTGCTGTCTTCTCCCCGGCATGCAGTCATGCATGTGGATAAACTGATCATTTGGAAGCCTCAGAAAGGTAAATTAATTACAGGCACTGCTTTGAAGAATGGCAGATTCTGCAATTGATGTTTCATGATTTTTGCTTTGGCATTCAAATGTGAGCATGTTTGGGGGAGGTGGGGAAGAGTTGTTCTTTGAGTAGTAATGGGAAATGAACTATTCTAAGGAGTCTCCAACACCAATTACCTTCCTGAAAAATAGTCCAAGTGCCACAAACATTACAGAGCAAGAAAGGAAATGTGAGCTATTTCTACTTATGGGTCAGGAAAGCTGATGTTCGCACACTAGTCTTTTCTTAGGACTTCCAAACCTATGGCCTCCGAGAGTAACAGCTTATAAGTGAGTAGCTTTAAAGGAGCAGCTCTGAGAGAAGATCTGTACGTTCATTCTATCAAGTTCAGTTTGCCTAGAAGATTACAGAAAATGAGTGCCTGAGAGTTGTTAAGCTGGGGACAAACTGGGATCGCTGTGACTACCGCTAAGATCAGTATGTTTCCCACTGGAAATACAGCAGGTCGATGCTAAATGTCTAATTACCGCGGTCATTTTTAAGCCACTTGTCTGTTTTTTCTTTCCATTGCAACTTGCTTTTTGGGATTGCGGAATTGGGACAACTACTGTAATTTATAATGTGTTTGTACCCAGGTCACTGGAAGTGTGCATTAGGTACTACCACAGTATTAAATCACAAAAAAATATGGGAGACAGGGAGAAGTTAGAATGTCGACATTAGAAATGACAACTTCTTAAAGTAAAAAAGTCCTGTCCAATACCGAAGCCAGCAAAGGAGAATCCTTCCCATCCACTACGAAGAGAGCCTTTCGTAAGTCAGTAAATGATCCTTTCAGTTCAGACTCAATGACTGATTTCTCCAAGGCTCCTGTTTATAAACAACAACAACAGAAGTCTTTCATCACATAAATTGCAATTATCCCAGCTTTACGCCCTGCGTTGTTCTGGTAAATGATTTCTGGAAGTTTCCATGAAAGTGACATCACATCAGTGGTAACACTCTCAAATGTTAAGGGACCTGCCAACAGCCCACCTTTTCTAACACACGCCCAGGTACAGCGGTGCAATTCTGCGGCTCTGACCTGCCACACTCACAACAGCTCCTACAGAGACTCAACTGAGTCCTCTTTGGCAGTAAACGCTCTCCCAGCGAGGATTAGGGATGCTGCCAAGGGAGCACCTTCAGCTCAGCGCGTCAAGCCTTACGCTGACACAGATGGAAGAGGAGTCATCCCAACCTAAATCCAGGGCAAAGTGTGGTACGTGCTCGTCTGAACAACCGATCAGCACCGACTTCTCTATCCACTGCTCAGTCTCTTGGAATTTCTCCAGGATCTTTTTCGTCTCTAAACAGCAGAGGAAAAGGGAAGAAAAAGCTATGACGAAAGCAAATTCATACAACCATGATGCGCTCTCGATCTTCAAGGCATATGCAATCTTGGCCCAAGGCAGGGTGCTTGGGTGAGAGAGGAGACCAAGAAGTGGTCCCACCTGAATGGAGACCAGAAGCCTGGCACTCCCCCAGCCATTGGAAGTTTTGACCATGTCAGGCTAAAGATGCAAATGTTTTCATGCTTGGGGAGCAGCTGTCCATTCTGGTTTTGCCCTACACTAGCCAATACCTTTCTCAAAGGAGACTTTCCTTGTGTTTGGCCAAATAACCTTTGGCTGTGAGACCTGGCTTGTTTTCCTGCCAGCCCTTTCTCTTCCAAGGCGTAGTCCCAAATATTTGAAACTGTTCATCTCAAAACAGGTCAGGTGTATGTTCATGCCATGTGTGTGTGTGAAGAGCATGAGCTTGTGTCTGCATGCCAAGGTTTTAACTCTAAATAATCCTTGGTCGTTAACAAATAGCGTGCTCCATTTAGTGGGGTGTTCCTGCACAGCTTGACAAATTTTCAGCGCTTGTGTAAGGGGTTGCTTATTGCAAATGACGCTATTATTTCAGCTGTCTGATCCAGGAGGTGGTTCTTTCCAGACACCTGCTTACCTGCTGCGCTGAGCTGTGGTACCAAATATTTCTTCCCATCTCTCTGCAGGAAGGGAGAGAGATTGTGAAAAAGATAGAAAGTTCCCGAGCTCTGGGCTTGTCTGCAGAGGCTATCATCTTCCTTTAGCTCATTTAAGTATCTGCAGCAAGAAAAGAATTGAGAAGAATTCTTACTACCACACAAGTGGCTGTAAGTATTGGACATCTGAGAAGATCACTAACCCAGTCTTTCAATCCAGGAGGTCTGCTTTGTAGGCATGGCATTTGTGTGCAGGAAACCTTGACCTTCCCTTTTATCTCTCCAATTCAGATGACTCTGAGTTCTGTTTGAGAAGGCTGCTGAGCCCTCCCCTCTGGCTACGTGCATTCC